CCAGTGCATGGCTGAATTATAAAGTCAATGAATGTACATGTGGTGCATATGCACATCACTGGGGATGCAGTGAAAAACCACCACAGCCCCAGAATTGCTATGTCAATGAATATAGAATAATGACAGAAAGCAGCGCAAAGTCCATGAAGTCTCCCTCGCTGCTTGGGGGGACTCTGCAAGGATATATGAATTTATGATATGATAATGAAAGTGAACCAAGTGAGATAATGTGATGTGTGTCTGCAGGTCACTGTATCCACAAAGCTTAGAAAAGAATGGAGGAGATGCTATCTTTCTTGAGCCTTTGTGCTGTTTGGATACAATCATCACAAACAGTCGGGGACAAAGAGAAGAGAAAAAGTGAAATAGAGAAAGGAGGGCTGGAGATAAAGAGCATACGTGGAAATTTAAAGAGCGAAATGGAGACGGAGAGAGAAAATAATCAAAAGTAGCTCAAAGGAAGGGTAGGAAAGCGAGAGACGACCGTTACAGCTCAATTAATGCCGAGACATGAGATGGCCCTGCCACTGATAATGACAGAGCGAGTGTTGGAGAAAAGGAGGGAGAGGGCAGGGGGAGGCTACCGGCAGTGATCTCAACAGGATGTTGGGAGTAAGTTGGAGGAGGAGGGGGGGGAAGCAAAGGAGGTGGAGAGGAAATAAGAGCAGATACTGTTAAATCTATTCATGATTCATTATTTCTTGCAGCAGCTCAAAGCTCTCCCTTGATGTCTTTCTCTGTACGTCTTCCTATCTTTCAGCTTCTTTCTTTTTTCCTCTCCATTACTTTTCTTTTCTTGCCTCTCATTTTCATCTCCAGCTCTTTTTCCCCACTTCATCTGTTCTATAAGGTCTTTTTCTGTCACTTCTAAAGCTCCATCCTTCCTGTTTACCCTCTCCTCTTTCATCTGTTCAATTAATCTCTTTCTCCTATTTCTCTTCTCATCCCTGCTGTCTTTTATCAGTTCCTCTTCCACGGTTAACTGTATTTTTCTCTACCATGCTCTTTCCTCCCCCTCTTCCTCTTATCAGTCTTTTTAAAATCACACTAACCTTCTTTTGTACACTTATTGTACTGGCCTCGCAGAAAACTCCATTCAGCTATCCAGCAAGCTAAACACCTCCGCACAATAAATCCAGGACATCCAGTAGAACCTGAGAGCTTATAATGTGATAGGTGTGAAACTGACAGAAAGATACACAAAACCATAAATAAAATAAATCATAAATGAATCTGGCCCGCCGTAGCTTTGTATTTGGCCCTTAGAGTCCAAATTACATCAATAAGGCCCTCCATTTTTTCACAAGACTGCAAAATTCAAACAAAATCAACAGATCCCCATATTTTTTCATATGACCCAAAATGAAACTGAGTTGGAGATCCCTGCACTAACAGGATGCCTTATTATTACACACATGAACCGCTCAAACTGCAATAATAACAAAAACACACTTCTAGTGAAATATCCTGCTCACAGGGATTGCCTTTAGAACAGCAGGATTGCATGAGATGGTGAACTCATTACATAAAATGTACAAGGAGAGGAAATAAAAGAATGGAGGAAGGGACAAAGGAAGAAAAAACAAAAGCAAGGAAGAACAGGAAGAAAGGAAGGAATATGAAATAAAGCCAAGGAATACAGCAATGTCAATTATTACTATCTTTCTATCTTATAAGATATATATATATATATATATATATATATATATATATATATATATATATATATATATATATATATATATATATATATATATATATAAATCCAGGACATCCAGTCCTGGATTTATATATATATATATATATATATATATATATATATATATATATATATATATATATATATATATATATATATATATATATATATATATATATATATATATCCAGGAAATCCAGTTGAACCACGTTTTAAATTGATAACACATTCTCTCCTGTCTCCTGTCTTACTCATAGTACTTTTCAGGATACTCCACTATATTCTGGCATAAACTCTCCTACCTTTCCTTTCGATCTCATATTTCCCCTGGTGACTCTTCTTCCTCTCCTTCCTCACTAACCCTTGACGTCAATGTACTCTGGAGATTACTTTTCTCCCTTTTTTGAACTCTCATTTGCCTGAATACAACTCTTTGGTCTGCTGTCATTTTCACTATCTTCATTTTTCCTCTTTCTGTTCCCTCCATTTTCCACACTCACCCCTTACTTGGCCTTCTTACCTCTGTCATCCTCCCCACTCTTCCTCTCTAAGAGGTAAAGCCAGCACCGCTGTACATTTCCTTTTTTTTTTGGCGACAAGAGCTGACAGGCCAGCTCTCCCTGGCTGTTTTGCCAACCATCCAACTTCCTCCCTCTGTGTCTTTTAATCCCTTCCCTTCCTGCAGAGTCAGTTTCTCTTCTGACTAAAGTACAACCCTGACATTATGTTTGGCAACAAAGCAGCCATTCAAACATGAAGTCAAGGCTTCACACAGTCCATCCTTGGGTTTGGGGCTGAATTTTATATTCTAAAGAAGAAACATTGGATTGTATTTCAGGTTTTAAATCACAGTAAATATCAATATAGTATATTCTTCAAAGAAGATGGATTATTCCTCTTTATCACCAGCTGAAAATATGTTTTCATATGTTCTTCTGTTATTTTTTAAACATCATGTAGACATTTAATTAGAACACATTTCCTCAGCTAGAAATAAAAGGGCCATAATCATTCTTAGAGTTTGTGTTGCTGATGTGTTACTTGTTGTAGACGATGCTGATTGATAAATAAGGATTCCTTACATTCAGCAGGGAGAACTGTTCTGCTGTTTCCTATCTCAGAATGTATGTTGGTATATTAACCCATTACGTAGGTGTAAATATGAAAATAATTATGTGGAATATCAAGTCCTGTCATGTCTATTAAGTATGTGTATTACATTGCACATCTTTATTTCCTGTCTGCAACTTTAAACAAGCACCTGAATTATAAATGTTCAAACAGAAAGGGTCCTAAGAAGTAACCCAACCTGTAAACATGCTCTCAAAATAAATGAAGAAATAGTTTTAGTAATAAATGTGCTGTAATGGCCCCTCTGGCAGATGTCGCCAGGCAAGTACAACAAGTCAAAAAAAAAACACACTTGTATGCGTTTTAGATCCACACATAAAAAAAGCATGGTCTATGGGCGCCTTACATATAGCAAACTTAATACAGAAAGTCTTCTGCAAATATTGCAGCTCATTGTCAACCAAAACGTACTACACAGCTTGCATCTCAAGTGTTGATCACTCTTTCAAAACATAAGCACAGAGTTATTGTTAAAATGTATTCTAAACTGATTAAATTCCCACCAGATAAGTTTTGCTTTAGATGTTTTCCCCATCATCTGTCCTAGAAATAGTTTCGACAGATGCCTCACCTTAAGCTCAAAGCACAAGGCAACTTAAACCAGCAGAGCAACACAAACCTCCATGCGCCCAGCTTGAACTCTGTGTTTGTAAATCCGATGTTTGATATCTCTTTGCTATAATTACCTCGATGGCTAAATGACGTGATAATTACGAGGTGAAAGTGCAGAGCACAGAGCCTTTTATTGGAAGGCGTCTAGAGACGGTTTCAAACAATGAGCTGCTTTCTGAAGGTGTACGCCAAAAGCTCATTGTAAAAGTGAAAAATAAACCCCTTCTTGTCTTGTCCTCCGTGACAGTGCCTGGCTCCGCCACAGAGAGCCAGTTAGCATGACAGATAGATAGATATAGAGAGGGAGGGAGGGAGGAAGACGCATGCAGTCACCTCAAAGGAAATGCCATTCAACTGGATAATGATTCTGTCTATCTGCAGGAAGGTCTATCAACTAGAACAGGTTTCGCGTCTGCCTTTTTGTCCTTCTACGTCGACATTTATCTGACTGTGTGCCTGTCTCTCTCTGTATGCAATTTGACTGTCTACTTCTCCAGTAGCGTGACCCAGACAGCAATTAGTATGGGGATTGACAAGCAGCTGCAGGCACCTGAGAGCACACACTGCTCATGAGACAAATGTCTTCATTCAAGACTACCAGATCTCAGCAAGGACAAGTGGAAATGTTACACAATTCACAATGACCTTCCCTCGCAGGCTTCAGCTGCACATCTAGTCTTTGCATGAATCTAGGAGTATTATTAATGGTGTTATCCTGTAGATCAGAGGTTCTTAAGACACTTTAGATAAAATGCCAACTCACTAAACGCCTTCAGGTTTTCAAAATACCGCTGGGGAATCAAGCATCTTAAAATATTCTTTAATAAAAACTTTATTGTATCTGCTCAATTTAAACTTTAAGAAATTAGGTTCAAAAGTGTAAACTATTTTGGAAAATTGTATCTTGTATTCCAAGTCGCTGTAATGTATCGGCTCAGCGGTCAAGGTAACATGACCAACTATGCAAAGGGGTTATCTTTAGTGTTTCTCAATAGCAAGTTTGATTTAAAGGCATTGATTACCCTGGGAGGTTCATAATCTCAGCCATTGATGTTCTAAAATAATGACCACACAGATAACACTCAAATATATTTATTCTCACATATTTCCCAATTAATCCCATTTTATTTAGAACCGCCTAAAAATTCAGTTGATGTTTATCATGTACATTTATATATCTGCCATTGTGAAGTAATCCATAAGGAAAATAATCACAATATTACTACATTATCATGTAATTAGCTTTGCTACTATCACAGCTTCTTAGCCCATGTCTAGCCATTACAATGGGCATTTCATGTTCGGACTTATAGTAGGGCTTACAATTCAGATTCACTTTTTTTTAAACACAAATATTAAAGCATGAAAGCTCACAGGCACAAATGTCTCTCATGAGCAATGGCTGTGGTGTTGTACCTCTTCTCTTGTTCAATGAAAGCTGCGTCTATAAAACAGCCAGAGTTGTACTAACAACCCCTAAACACATACCCTGCAAATATTCCAGCAAAAACCTTTCAACACAATCATATCAAAACATGGTAAACACAATTCTTCCTACCTGTTTGTGCATCTCAATGTTGAGACCGTAGGACATTTCGTAGTACTGCAGAGATTATAAAAAAAAAAGACAAACGACAGAGGATTTAGTTCATGACACATTTTGACATTCAATTCTGCAAAATGTCTCCAGTTGAGCATCTGTTGCTTAACATAGCCACATATGCTGCTATTTATCTCTGCGCTTTCCATGCAAGCAAGAATAATCAAATGAAAAAGATTTCAGTTGCGCAGACAGAGTGTGCGTTGAGAACAACAAGTGTGTGTGACATCGTAAAGAGGCATTTACGTCTAGGATAAGTAATGCAGCATCACTGTCTCTGCGTGTGTGAATATGTTGGGTAATTTTATCATTTCACCAGGTCTATGCACAACTGCCAAATGAGCACAACTGTGTGTATATTTGCTATATGCTCCTTTTCCTGCATGGATGTAGGTGTGCCAATGAATAATGATGCATGGTGTCAGAATAATGAGACTCTGTGAATGCTTGCAGCAGTATGATGTCCCTGTATCTATGTGTGTGTAAAACACCAAAACTTATTTCACACCAACAACAGTCAGAGCGTAGATGTGCATGGCACTGCAAAGGGAATCTGAAAGGAATGATATTACGCAGGTCAAAGAACAACATAAAGCTTATACTATAATTAAGCTTGAGTGAAGTCCACAGAGCACACATGCTTGAAAATAACTATTTTTTTTGAGAAATCTGGTGCCTCTCTATTTTTCTTGGTTTGTTTTTTTTTTTAATTCAGTTTTTTTTTTTTTTTTTTTTTTTGCTAAACTGACTGAGAAATAAATAAAGCTCCAAACTTTAAAACTGAAATACTCAAGAACCAATGTGACAATGTAGATTAAACCCAGATATTATGACATTCTAAGGTCAGAAACACACACACACACAAATCTAATTCTCAATGTCTGTCTGTGTGCTTCTTGACACCAGCATAGTTTCTGGATTTGCCTCTCCTGAGTATGTGTCTCTCTCCTCACTGCGTGTGTTTCTTTGTGTACATCAGTAATATTCTTGGAAGTAAGCAGAATACAAACAGCGGGAATCCGTCGTGGTGACAACAGCATCCTCTGCCACAGGATGGCCAACGCTCTGACTGATGAGAGTGAGACAGGGCACTTCCTCCCTCTCTGTATTCTCCTGCTCATTTTCACTCGAGCCCTCACTTCTCTCCATTTATTTTTCGCCTGATTCAGTCCCTACCTCACACTCCAATCTTTATCTTTCAGGAGCTGACAGGCCGCACGTCCCCTTTCCCACCTTTGTTTTATTTTTTTCCCATTCCTTCTTCGTTTTAGCCATCAGGTTTGTCTTTCACTCTCAGGTTCAGGATAGTTTTTTTCTGTCTGGTTTCACTTACTTACGATCATTCTGTATCTCAACGGCTTCATAAGTACAGCCAAGGACAACACATTCAGACTATATACTGTATAAGATCTATATTAAATACAATAAATTGCTTCTGCACACAACACATTCCACAATCAATCTACATATAAAGTACAGAAGAGGATGAATACAGGTCAGATTTTGAAGAGACTCAATACATTTTCATGTGTTGTATCTCCGGTTTTCTCCTCAGGCTGTGACATGCTCCAACATATTTTACTGCTTCACTGCCAAAGTCAGTTTTCCCTCAAGTATATATTAAAATTGAGTAAGGGTGTGTGTGGAATGCCTGGTATTTTACTGCTGACTGTAAAATACAAAAAAAAAGAAAGAAAGAAACCAAATAAAACACAGAAAGCAACACCAGGATTTAATAAAGTTAATTAGAAAACATTGCTTTGATTGAATTGGTTCAGCAGGCACCAAGTTAGTCAACCCCGACTGATGAGTGAATATAGTCCAGTACTATAAACACATCCCGTATTTTTATTTATTTATTTATTTATTTATTTGCTTCACTTATCAATAAATAATAAACACATAAACTGATGAAGGAAATTAGGTTTAGATGTTATCACCACATTATTAAAACCAGGAAGAGTAGTGGTGAACCATCTCATCTACAGAAGAAATGCAGTTGACAACTGTCTTCAGTCCAACTGTAATCATATATTTATTTAGTGTGGTTTATTTTTACTTCTCTATGTGCTTTTTTTCCATAGGTCTTCAAAACGTTGCACATTTCCCTGGAAGTATAGTTGAAGCAAAATTAATAAACAAGGGATTTTTAATAATAGTTCCAGTCACCTAATACCACAACAAATGAAACTGCGCAACATATTGTACTCCTAATACACAATCACACAAGTCAATATTTGGATAAAGTTGCTGTTTAATTATTTACTAAAGGGATATTTATTTATTTATTGCATCGTAAATGCACAAACGCAATTCTTCCAAAAATGGCTTTTAATTCCTTTGTGACTGTTTACACAGAGATCTTTCTGTACTTCACCAGCTTTGACATTTAGTTCTAATTCCAATTTTGTCTTTAGGTTTCTTTCATTTGCCTTTTGGGATGTTGGAAACATGGTCACTGGATACAAAGTCTTGATACTAATAAATAATCTTTAAATACATTGAACTATTCACCAACCCTCTTTTCTTACTTATGCCACTTAAGAAAGGAGTATTTTTCAGTGGCAGAAGTATTTTATAGTTGAAGAACCATCTGTGATTGTTTTGTTTTGGTGAGTCCAAAATGATAGTGTCAGGATTTTCTAAAAAAAAACAAAAAAGTAGTGGATTAGGAAAAACCACTTCACAGGTTCTTTTAATCTGCGATCCTGACATTCACCATGTTGTCTTTGTGCTTTCTCATCCACAAATTCTTAATTTTTCCAACCAATTATCAGATTTTCAATGTTTTCTCTTCCCTCTCTTGACTCCATGTCTGATTAGTCACCTTCTTGTTTTTATCATTGCTGCATCACTCTCATCTCTTTCACTGCAGTATTGTCATTTCCAACAATCATTTTATTACTTTAAGTTCTTGTTTAGCTGTTAGTTTTCTACCGGATCCCTCCTTCAGCACCTTATCTACCTGTCCTCCTTTCTTTCCAGTTCTCCTGAGAAAGACCGGAAAAAATTTGTTCATGCTGACAGACATTTGAGAAATATCTTCCATTGAAACATTAATTCATGCTTTACCAAGTAAATGCACATATAAAGCAAACTAGAGTACACATACCTGAGAAGCCATCCCTCACTAACTTCTCATCTCTCCATCAATATACTTTTCTGCTCTTCCTCTCATTTTAGATTAGTTTCTGTGTCTCTGCTTATTAATTATCCGCAGTTCCTGCCATTAGCCTTATTCATCTTTCAGGAAGACTATTTCATTAAAATAGTGGGACGAGGTTCAAAAAATGTAGCATACAGTATTTGAATACAACCATGCATTGCTAAGTTGAGCAGCTGTCCTCTTTAATGCAACAGTAAGGATGTGCAGCAACAATTAAGCAGTTCAAGAGACATTTTGAATTTTTGAAGTTAAAAAGGGTAACAGTTTTTAGGGTAATTTTTAGGGTAATGTTTTATTGTAGTGAGTCTTTGCTGCATATTTGCAAATATCAACTACCTCCATTTTCACAAGAGATCAATATGTTAAACTTTCCAGTTTTTTTGTGTGACTCTTGAAGGATAAAAGGTGGACTGATGAGTTGCAGTAGATGGGACAATTCGATGGGCGGCAGTTTTAAGCAATGTACTGTTGTATTCCATGAAGACCAACATGTTCTCTTTAAATTGCTAAATCCATGTGACGGCCACATGCTGGAGCAACAAAAAAGTCCTGGGTTCAAATCCTGGCCTGGAGTCTTTCTGCATATTTGCATATGCACGGTCTCTCATGCATGCATGAGAGAAAACACTTCCTCCCATGGTCAAAGACATGACTGCTACGTTAACTTAGCTCTCTAAATTGGCCGTAAGTGTGAGTACATGGCTGTTTGTTCTTTGTCTTTGTGTTTCACTGTGGTGGACTGGCATCTTTCTACTCCAGCTCAGGGAACTATGACTAATACCTTCACAGAAGTTCACACAACAAAAAGTTTAAACCATTCCTTTAAGGAGAAGCAGAAGGAGCAAGAAGGTTTTGTCAACATAGAAACTATGTTGTATCATTTAGGATAAACAATAACGCACATAATCGGGATAAAACAGATTCATTCACAAACAAAGTTTTATGGAGACATAGACATGGAAAAAAAATAGATAACTTGCAGAGTGTTTCAGATTTTCTACTTTGAGGCATGTGGAGGTGCAGACAGAATGAAGAATGGTCCAACAGCTCATTGTGGCAATAATGATCCTAACGAAGCAAAGTATTCTTCAAAAATCAATAAACTACTTCAAGAATCACAAGCTGCAGCTTATGAGTGGTCTCCCAGAGTCATGAGTATTTTCACCTAAGAAAAATCTAATTAAAAAAATACTTTGCCAAAGCAACTATTTAAGTTACGCTCAAGCAGCAACAACATTATGACACAGAATGTAGCAGAAGTATGAAAAGCTGCTCTGCAACCTCGGAGACAAAGTCGGAGACAAGCATACCAGTTTCTTTAGAAGATTGAAAAGTGATTGATTAAAATACCCTACATCTTTACATGTTCCAGTTATTTTTATTTGTGTGACTCAAATGGAAAAAAAGATGAAAAATATCTTCAACCAACAAGCAGAACACAAATAAAACCTGCTTTACTTGATCTCTTTTTCATTACTGCTCTCGATTCCCTCCTTTTCAAAGGAAAGGGTCACTAGTACCAGAATGAAAATAATAAACATTTGATGCGTTTATGTTCACAACAACAAATGAAATATTATTAGGTGCTTAGACTGTACTTCCAACGACCAGAGAGTGCAGATTTATATCATGAGATTAATTGAAATTGCTCCATGAACTATCTACTTTGGTTGGATCTGAGAGTCAGTGTGTTATTTTGGCACATTATTATTTTAGTTTTCTTTCTTGGCTTTAGACTTTTTTTTTTAATTAGTTCCGTCAAACACCAAATCTCTGGTGCCATGACACTGCAGATAAGCAAATATAAAATGCATTTGATCCCCATGTGGCAGTGGGT